AACTGAACATTGACTTAATACAGCTGTGAAACTTTACTATGCAGAATAATGATGTTGCTTTTAACCATCTTAATTTAAATGAAACAAGCACAGAAACAGTTTCCTCACCTTGTCAAATTTTTTTTAAAACTTTCCCTTTATTTTTTAGTAGTTTACATCTAACACTCTGCTGCTACCTGATTGCATACTTCCAGGTCCAAATGAGGTGTGTGATTGACTGGTCAGTTCATAACTCTGAGGTTCTACTGTATAACTAAGTATGGTCCCTTCTAGTCAAGATTGAGGCAGGTTGGTAGGATATTGTGGTGGAAGCTTGCATGGCTTCTGTTCTGTGGCTGCCTCAGTATGCTATGTATTGTTCAGGAAGGGAACAAGGAGTAGGTGACCTTAGAATTCTAGGAGGCTAAATTATACTATTCCTCTTTACAGTTTAGCTGGCATGTATTAGAGTTGCTGGCGTCCCCTCCTGACCCCTTAGCCCACACTTTTCCACTCAGCTGGCAGCAAAAAAATTGTGCTGACAGGAATTGCTACTGCTCTTGATTTGTGTCTAAGAAAAACTAAGCCGAAGAAAAAGGGGTAGTAAACACAGTCTGGGTCTCTAAATGGTCTTCATTCTCACTTTCGGACAGATCCATTAATTCAGTCTAAGCCTGCAAAACCCAAGTACCAGGAGGATAATATACCATAGCATAGTACTTAGGACATTCACAGTGAAGTGGCAGATTTAAGTCCTTTTTTTAAAAGGAAAAGAGCCCCAGAATTGCAGCAAAAATGATTAGGAGCATAGGAAGGGATCTGACAAAATCCTTAGCACCTCTTGCAAGATAGTGAGCACCCTCTGTTCTCATCAAAGTCTCATGGAAACTGTCTCCACTCATCACCTTCTCATCAGAAATGACTAACAAATGCATTTGAAAACGCTATGGGCAAAATCCTGCCAAGTTCCTTCAACTACTTTGGGCTGCATGCCCAAATCCAAATTTGGCCTAAATGAGGACACAGTATGAACTATAGGATTTAGTCTTATCTTTGGTGAGGGAAGGAAGGTCCTTAACTCCCATCATAATTAGCACTAATTGATCCCTTTTTGGCAGATTCCACAGCAGTCAAGGCATGAATGGGCCACAGAGACTGAACCTGGAGGTGGTCCCTCCATACTAGGTTAAGACTCATTGGCAGAGCAGCTTGGGGTAGCTGGATCTGTTCTTTTGATAAACAAAAGCTTTCAGTCTCCAGTGCTGTCAATCCATCTTTTAGCAACAAGAAATCCAGTTGAAATGAAGGACTTATGAAGACGTGTCCATCATTAATAGCATTTCAAAATATGATCCCTGAATAATGGAGCAGGTTAAAGTATTCTGCAGGTAGACATTATCACTCACTCCTTTACTGGCTCCTTGTTTGACTCCTGTGGCCAGTCAGTAGTTGTTTTTCCTCCTGTGAAACTGAATTCTTTATGTTCCCATCGTTTCTTAGGCAGTTTCACAGCTCCCTGGAGCAGCATGGTGCAGTCCAGTGAGCAGTACTGTCTAGCCTGGGAATCCAAGTACCTGATGGAGTTGGGCAACGCTCTGGATTCACTGCTAAATGGTTTTGTGAACATCATGGCTCAGGAAGCCCTGAAGTTCACCGTCTTATCAGGTAAGCATCTGAGTTATACTGAGGCTGCTTGGGTGCTGAATCTACTGGTTTCAGCATTTGTGTTTGTTCAAAGAGGCCTTCCCCCGAATAGGTGAATTTTTCCTATTCATTTGTTGATTATCCGAGAAGCAGTGTCGCTTGCAAACCTTACATGTATTGACCTTAGTCCTGCAAAGATTTATGCACCTGCTTCATTTTACGCCCTGTAGTTGTCCCATTGACTTCAAAGGGAAAACAAAGTGAAGCCCATCCATAAACAGGATTGAAGGCATAGTATTCCAGAGCAACCCGCCTTTCTTTCAAACAATCTCACCAGGGTCAGCGTGAGAGCCTCTCTTTAGCAGCTCCTGTCGTGTGGAACAACCTTCCTGGATCATTTTACCTCATCAGTTTGTCATGGCATTTCAAATCTCAGCTGAAAACGGCTTTCTTCCCTTACCCTGTGTGCCTCAGTGTTTCTTTCCCTCTGCTATTTATTATTGTAACTCTTATTTACGCAATTTTGGATACAACTTGCACAAAAGACTATCCATATTGCATTGCATTGCATGCTTCATCCACAGCTTCCACATGTGCAAACTGCATCCATACGGGATGATTGCCTGCTTCCGTTACATCTGTCCCAACATTACAAAGCATTAAGTGCACATGTTCTGCTTGTGCACACTGTCTCTTCGCATTATACCTGAATGCACTGTATTCCCTGTGTTCTGCATGTGCACGCCCCGTCCATGCACTATACCTGGACACATCATATCCAACATTCCTATGCAGATGACAATGCATTATAACCTCATGCACTGTATTCCTCGTGTTGTACCTGGCCAATTTACATCTGAATGCATTAGGTTTCTCCTGTTTTGCTTGAGCACATTACATCCATGCATTACACCTGAATGCAGTGCACATGACATTTAACAGATTCTGTCTTGTTTTTAATTTTGCAAAACACACCTTAAATCAATCTTGGGAAAGAAATGTTGACAGTGACAAAGATGCAGTGTTTTTACTCTGGCAAACCATCTGACTTTTGAAATTTGCCCAGATTTGTAACTTTGATTTCCTGTTTGCTTTGTACCTCTCAGGCATAGTGACAGCCCTGACGTGGCCGGCTTCACTTCTTACTGTTGCCAGTGTCATTGACAACCCATGGGGAGTGTGCCTGAATCGATCAGCTGAAGTGGGCAAACATCTGGCACAGATATTGCTCAGTCGACAGCAGGTAATTGGCTGAGGGGGCAAAAAATGGCTCCAGTTATTACAGCTGGAAGGGACTGATATCTTGGGGAAGCTCCAGGGGTCTGATGTTTTACAGCATGCTTGTCAAACAACAGGTGGTATTTGTCCAAGGGGAAGAAAGTCAATAACAAGCTGAAGAATGCAAAATTGAGGCATGAGGGAGACCAGCATATATCTCACTCTTCCATGCAGGGAATGAGGAGAACATGGGTTGATGAGAGGCTGCCTGCAAATGTTGGTTTAATTTAACCCAAACCTTTGCTAAATGCAGAAGAGGTCAGTCAGCAATCAGTCTAATAGAGAGTTCTGATAGCAGAAGAGATTGTAGCAGTCCTTTGAAATGCTTATACACCATTCCCTGTGTAACGCCAACAAACCCGGTCGTCGGGATCAAACCGAAGACCTCTGGAGCTTAGTGCATGAGCCTCTACCGCATGAGCTAAAAGCCAACTGGCTGTTAGCTAAGGCAGTAGAGCAGACTCATTAATTACTTTCTCTCTCTCTCTAAGTGGTCTCGGTGCCACTAGATGGGACAAAACACCATACCCAGGAAATGTGTTCGTTACACTTGCAAACAGGGCTTACAGACAGAGTCCAGTACTGAAGGACAACAAACAAAATCATTGGAGGGAAAAAACGACAAAGACTGTTGGTCTATAAGGTGCCACAGGACTCTTTGTCGCTTTTTACAGATCCAGACTAACACGGCTACCCCCCTGATAATTGCAGGAAAGTTTAACATGAGACATACTATGGCATCTATTTTTTGTCACGCATCCATTTAATCCAGGAAGCTTGGTGACACACTGGGGTAATAACAAATCTAGCTTTTCACTGCCAGAGACCTGGATTCAGGTCTAATCCAAGTCAGAAGTGCAAATTGGTGTGATTTGTCCACTCGGCCCGATCTTGACAGTGGGGGAGTGAAAGCAGAGGATGAGGCGGGGGAGAAAGGAAGAGAAAAGACAGACAGCTGAAATACCCATCAAGAGGTAAGAGGCATCGGCAGAGTGGGGCGAGGGAAGATTGCATAGCACCTACCTGCAGCAAGGACCAAATTTTGCTCTGAGCTATGTTGGTATAAATCTGGAGTCATTCCGGTGAAGACGCTGGGTCTTACTTCCTTACTAATCCCAAACTGACACAAGCCCGGAAATTCACCAGGCTTCATTCTAAAATCATTATTTGTAAAACCAACCATGGAGGGGAGGGGGAAAGTAAAGAATTGGCTTATTCTAGAGGCAGCCACCTTCTGCCAAGAGGAATTAAATTGGGCACAGGTCCTGTTAGCCTGAATTCTCCGCAACTAGCCCCCATTTCTATTGGACACCCAAGCAAAAAGTTCTCGCACATTGATTCCTGCTTCCTCATGGCGCGAGGCAGTGGCATAGAACTGGCTGGGGTTGCAGGGTATTAGTCAGATTCAGATGGATGTTGTCTCCTCCAGGAAAGTGCTTTGTTGGAGCCAAGGCACAATTATGTTGAGTGATTGTCTGCTCCTGCTGGACGCCCCTGGAATAAAAGTCAAGGGAAAAGAGGGAAATAAAATGGGAGGTGGAGAGGGAAAGAAACAGAAATGCATACACAAAATGGAGGAGGGGGATAGTGGATGAAGCAACAGGTTGTGAAGGAATAAGATTCAGAACATAAATCCAAAGGAGATGGGGAAGCAGAAGAGCTTAAGCCCAGAATAAACAAGAAGAAAAGAAAAAGGAGCCAAATAGACACATGGGATGGATTGGCACTGAAAGAAACAGCTCAGTAAAACCAGCCGTCCTGCCAAGTCGTCATCTTCATCCCCAGCTGCCAAACCTGAAATTAAACTTCTGCCCAGGTCCTGCCATTATTTGCTATGAGTACAGGCTGATCTCTGTGTTGATCTTACAGCTACACTAGTCCAGTATCTATTGTAGATGAGCTATTCAGGGCCGAGAGGTAAAGGGAGACATAGCCAAACACCAGAATGTCATAAATAACTCCGTGAAACAGGAATGTAAGCCAGCAAAGTTGATTTCTAATAAAAACACAGTGCCCAAAAGGCAATAATAAAGGCCTGGTTTGAAGTAAAGATTTGCCCAAGGGCATGTGACATTGTCTTTTAGCTTTAGTTATGGTTAAAGCACAAAATCCTGCTGTGCCGGAGAACCTAAAACTAGTTAACAGGATGTTTCTGAACCCTATTATACCTGATGTGCGTTTAGCCCAAGGAGAAGGCACTTCTTACTGTTAAAATCCCTCCCTGCTTGATTTCATAGAAAATCCTATTAAATGTATTTAAGATAAAATCTTGCTCATTGAAGTAGGATGCCCACATCACATTTTCATGATGACCCTACGAGTAGCAGCCATACACTCTTCCAGCTAATGCTGCTTGAAATAATATTTGACCAAAAAAAATTTCTGCCAAAAAATAGGGCTTCATCAATTATTTTGCAGGAAGATGTTGCTTTTCCAATGGGAAATTTCAGAGCAAACCAAAATGAAATATTTTCATTGAGTTTCCATTTGAAATTTTTATTTCATTTTGTGATGTTCAGAAACAGTTTGGGTTTTTAAAATTTAAATTAGGGCTGTCAAATGATTAAAAAAATAATTGCAATTAATCGTGAGATTAAAAATAATAGTTGAGATTAATTGCAGTTTTAATCACACTGTTAAACAATAATAGAATACCAATTTAAATGTATTATAAATATTTTGGGATGTTTTTCTACATTTTTAAATGTATTGTTTTCAATTATAACACAGAATACGAAGTGTTCAGTGCTCACTTTATAGTATTATTTTTATTACAAATATTTGCCCTGTAAAAAAGATAAAAGAAATAGTGTTTTTCAGTTCACCTCATACAAGTACTGTAGTGCAATCTCTTTATCGTGAAAAATGTAGATTTTTTTTTACATAACTGCACTCAAAAACAAAACAATGTAAAACTTTAGAGACTACAAGTCCACTCAGTCCTACTTCTTGTTCAGTCAATCACTAAGACAAACAAGTTTGTTTACATTTACGGGAAATAATGCTACCTGCTTCTTATTTACAATGTCACCTGAAAGAGAAAACAGGCTCCCAGCAGTTACCTCTCTTGGTAGAGACTCAGGTGTGTCTCTCTCCTGACCAGGGTTTTTCCACACTGCACAATTGCCTACCTATACACAGTTGCCAGCAAGCCAGAGTGCCTAAACAAGCTAGCTTCTGTGGTTTGCTTTCTCTCCAGAGGCTATGAATAGCATAATGGCCCACAGTTATAAGTTACCACACAGTTCTTCATAAGCAACCACATTTATTCTTAAGGTGAAAGCATTGCAGAGAAAACATACGAAAACAATACAAGAACATGCATGCTAAAAAGCTTACCAAAGGTCATCCCATCTCCAATCTCGGCTCTGGTACGTGTCAGTCCTTCAAAACCCAGAAATGTTTTTTTTCCGTGACTACAAGTTCATAACAGTCTCAGGTTCAGAACCACTAGTTCAGTCTTTCTTTTATGCATCTTGGGCCTTTGATCTTGGCCTCATGTAATGCATGAACAGCAGACAGTGGCTCATTCCCCAAGGCATGGCTTCAAAAGGCTGGGGTTTTGCATAACTGGAGGTGGGGTATTTGCACTAAACTCTCCTGAGATAGATATCCCCAGGAAAATCCCTTTAACATTTTCTGTTCCAAAAGACCATTCTTGTCTGGCACATTGTTCACAATAGTCCTTTGAACCCCCAGGACTCACATCTGTCACATCTCCCACCTCGAGAGGTTACATAGAATCCCGGCCCACAATAATACACCATTCATTTCATACAATGGACCCCACAGACACTTAAATTTAATTAAATAAGGTCTCCCAATGATATTGCAGAAAATTGCCGCATCTGTCACACAGATCACCACAAATCCCCAAGACCAAGGTTGGGAACCTCATTAACAAATGTCCAACACATGTTCAGTAGAAGGAGCTGAATCCTCTAAACGGTTCCCCATCAAACCAGCATTAGCTCGGGTTTATCTGGATTAAGTTTAAACCAGCTTGCTCGCATCCATATCTCCTCTTGGCTAGAGCTGGTAATCATCTGTTAATAGAGGCTAGATATGCATACACCCCACTGTTTGCCTTTTCATGGAAAATTGACTGGCTGGCAGTGTTAAAAGCCATGGGAGCCTATTTCACCTGCCAGGTCTATTAACTCTGCAAGCATCTGAAAGGCATGGCACTGCCTTTTTGTCTTCATCTCTGCCAAAGATGGCATTACATTTCATTTCTTGGTGGTTGGGAGCCCCGAGAGAGAGAATGCTTTTGTAAGGCGGAAACAAGTTTCTCTCCTTGCTAGGAAAATGGCAGCAGTTGCTCTAATGGTATTTTACAGCCCTGAAATTAATTGCTTGGGGGTTGGACTTGATTTCCTGCCTTGAAAATGTGTTCCAGCACCTCACTCATTTCCATGTTGTTATATGGGGCTTTGCATTCTTTGAAATTAAAATAGTGTTGGTAAGGTGCAGTGCATAGCAAATGGACCATTCAGTGAAAAGGAGCTTCCTTAGATGATGTGTGAGAAACTTGATATTAATAAAGCAGGAAGAGTGCATTTGGACCCTTATCCAGCAAAGCACTTAATTTTAAGTTAAATGTAACTGTGCTTAACTTTAAGAACATCAGTAATATCATTGAAGTCAATGGAACGGCTCACATACTTAAAATTCAGCACATGCTTACATGATTTGCTGGATCAGAGCCTAGGCACCCCCACCGCCCAGCCCTTTCTTTCCAGGTTTAGCAGACTGTTTGACAGCCATACCCTCCTCATTTGTGCCTGTGCTTCTTTGTTCCCTAGGGCAAACGACCTGTCACTTTGATTGGCTTCAGTCTGGGTGCAAGGGTCATTTACTTCTGCCTGAAGGAGATGGCTCAAGAAAAAGGTAGAGTCCAAACATTTAACTCTCTTATTTATTTTTCCATCACCCTTTTTTTTTATGAATTTAGTGCTGGTAGAAGTTATCATGCCAACGGCTCTGGAGATCGAAGTCCTCTAGAATACCCACAGAAGGACAGCACAGCCACATGGCATTGCCTTTGTGCTTCACAGCCTGACCTCGCTGGACAACCTCTAGGGTTAAGGGAGCAATTTAGTCTCCAGGGCTCATTCAGTCCTTGGGCTCTTCGCTGAGACAGTCAACAAAGATGCTAGTTAGTAGTGGTTGTGGAGCTGTGTACGCCGCTCCTTAAGAAAGGCTAAGAGGCTCTGATTGTGTTATGCTGGAGGAGATATAGATTAGTTTTTTCTGCTGATACAAGTTATCCGTTGGGCCACCCTAATGCATAGATGGACCACTTGAACAGAGCTACCCCAGTGCACACAGCTAACAGGACACCCTAACTGGGCCACCCCAATGCACAGGCCTCATTAGGGCAACAGGCACAAAGCTCACATTACATGGCCTTCATTCAGATGGGTACATGTTAACATTAAAAGGCAGCATATTATTCCCTTCCTTGGCTTCACAATACAGACTACTCCTGTCAGTTGCAGAAATAACCTGGTCTGTGAACCAATAGAAGGATGTAGATATGCTGAAATATATGGACCGCACCTCCAGGCCTTACACCCTGCCCTGGGATACCCCTCCCCAGCTCTGTCTGCAGAGAGACTGTGAAGCTGCATCTCTGTGGGTTTGAAGGGAAGCAAGAGGCACCATGGATAGTTTCTATCCCATTGATCCCCTCCTGGCCACATCTAATGCACTTGGATTATGTGCATTCCAAGCCAGTATGTGGCTGAGGGTATTTACTTCCTGAGGTGCAGTCTAAATAGAAACCTACAAAACAGTTTTGAAATACGTTCAGAATTTAATTCTGCTGTCTCCGGTGTAAACCTGGAGTAACTCCACCGACTTGAGTAGTTACTTCAGATTTACACCGGTGTAATTGAGAGCAGAATTTGGCCCTCCGTCTGCAAACAGCACTCTTGACGTTCTGTGACATTTGCCTGGTGAATCAGTCTGTGAGCGGCCCACGCTTCGCTGTGAACTTGGCAGAAGATGCTTCGCCTTTATTGAAAGCTCTCTGTAGCTACTGTTTCTGATCCCATAAGTTGTCCCTCCCATTTAAGTCATTGAAATGCCACTGTCGTCAGCTATTTTCATGGTAATTTTTCCCTAAAGCCAAGCATAAAACCATCTGTCAATTTGTTACCAGTTGTGGTTTTGTTTATTAATAGATTCTATTCTTAATTTAGAAAAAGAATCAAGTCATTCTGATCAATTGATGTAAATTGCGTGTTGGAGTTGAGTCAGTAGTAGTTTGTGCTTATCCCTCCCCCTACCTAGCCAATTTTATTAATTAACATTTGCCCTCACAGAATGTAGCTAATAAGTAAGGAGCTTTACACGGGCAAACATTCATTAGTAGGTGTTGGCAGGAGGGAACAGATTAAACCAGCATGAGAGGAGGAGGTCAGCTTCCTTTCCGTTTACAGCTGCGTGCCAGGACTTCTCACAGCCCCTGAAATACAAGAGGCCAAATTCTAGTCTTTGTAGCACCAGACTGTATCCTAGTGACTTGATTAGAATCAATCTGAGTTTACCCTGGTAGAACTGAGTTCCGAATCTGGCCCCAGATTTACTCTTTTCTCCTCAGTGCCCTGAAAATGTCGGGGCCGTAATGTTTTGAGGCTTTCGTTAGCCGTTAATAGCCTTGCAGTCTCTCTCAATGAGACTGCACAGCACTATAGCTAAGTAACATGTGAAAGGGAATCATTAGGGGCTGTCTGGTTATTTGCCATTCGAAAGAAATCTAAGCATTGTAAATACATCTTGTAGCGGCCCTCCCCCACTGCACATTGATTGTTCAGTCCTTTAATTGAATTAGGAAAGCTGAGCTGTTTGTGGGACTAAAAGCAACGTGTTTAGTGCAGATTGCCAATGCGTCCTGCCAGTGCACATTCCAACAGCAAGCCACTGAAGGAATGGAGCAGCCATCTGGGACATGTGGGTCTGGACTCTGAAGACGCATACATAATAAATACAAGGCCCAATCTTGCGGTCTTTTTTGTATACAATCTTAGTGGCATGACAGTATAAGAATAGGATGTGTGCGAAGGGTTGTAAAGAGCTGCAGAGGACAGTGATGAAAATTCATAGACGCGAAAGACATCCAAATCAGGAGACATTAAAAAGATTGTGACAACCATACAATGGGGATAAATGAGATAGGGCATGATGGAAGTATATTAAAATAGCATAGAGAGGAGCTGAGTCCGGAGGTCCTAATAACCCTTTCTCCTAATACAAGGTCAAGGAGCTATCCCATGAAATAAAAAGACAAACAATTAAAAACTGATAAATGTAATACTTAGCTAAAAAATGTTTCATTAACTTGTGAAACTGCCCAGGGTGATATTTGAAGCCAGAAGCTTCATGGAAGTAAAAGAAGGATTATGCACGTACATCTGGTACTGGTCGCTATCAGTGGCAGGATACTGGACTAAAAGACCACGGGTCTGATCTTGTATGGTTCCTATGTTCCTAGATGATTAATAAGTATATCCACAGTTAAACTAGGGAGGGTAAAAATTGATAATGGATCTCAGCCCTAGTACTTCAAAACATAAGCCAAGCTGGCTTGGGTTTAGGAAGAAACTTCATCCATTGGGTAGGTTATTGCATAATTGTGCGTTTCTGGACTTTTGTGCCTTTCTCTGACAGCTCTGGTGCAAGCTACTATCCGAGATGGGGTAATCTAACTGTGTGAACTCCTGGTCTGGTCCGGTATGGCAAGCCTGTGTTGCTCTGGGATGGAAAATGGTACCTGTGCCTTCTCTGGGGACTCAAGTTAAAATGAATGATATTTTTCAGTGGCTGTTTCAAACATTTTATTTAGGCTTAATAGTTATGTTACTTTGCTAGGCAGGTTTGCCAGTTTGCATTAAATGAGTAGTTTTTACAAATAGTAATAATACTCATAAATAATTCCTTGCTTCTATATCATCCTGAGGACCCCAATGAGCTTCACAAATTATAAATTACAGAAACACTGCAATGCAGCCAACCAGCATTGCAAACAGTGCCCAACAGTGGGCGAGGAGGGGAAATACTGCCCAAAGATACCTGGACAAACCCCTGTTAAGACAAAACCTTTAAAGGCATGGGATCGTTAAGGCACCAGAGAGCAGACCGGATCTTGGCTTCTACAATGTCCTCAGAAAGCAAATCACCTGTCAGACATCCAGTGCTAACACTGTTTGGCTCATCTAGGCCTCCGTTCAGGACAGCACTTATTTATGTGCTTGACTTAAATCCCACTGGAGAGCTTAAATCCCACCTAAGTCAATGGGTATGTCTACACAGCCCACAGGAGTGAGCCTCCCAGCCCAGGTCAAGAGACTCGGGCTAGCTGGGCTCATGCTAGCGCTCTAGAAATAGCTGTTAGCCAGCGCTTTGACGTTGTGATTCAGGCTGCAGCTCAGGCTCTGAAGCCTAGGGAGGGGGTAGGTTCAGAGCCTGAGCTCATGCCCGCTGTTTTGAGGTTTTAAGTAGCACTTAAGTGATGCATATGTCTTGTACTTGCCCCTCTACGAAGGGTGGATTTCACCTGAATGGCACAATAATGCCCTGTGTGTGTAACACTTCCAGACCTGGGAACATGGCAACGTCTCTCCCTGCTCCCAGAGACTGGTCCTAGCCCCAGGCTCAGTGTGCACCGCATGGGCCTTTTCCAAGATTATTTGCCTGTCAATTATTGCCTCACGGCAAGCAAATACAGCTGCTTTCATCACAAAACCCCTTTTTAGTAGCTAGCAGGCAATGGGAATTGCCAATCCCTGCCCCATTACTCTCCTATCGAATCCCAATATAGAATTGTGTCTTATCTACTAAGAAGTTGGCCAAGTGGAATAAAAGCCTTTTTTTCTTTTTACACATCCTGCCAGAATTAATGATGTTTCTGAGTCAGAGGCAGGAGGAGGCTGTGAAATGTATTAATCCCAAGAGGGGTTGACTGAGGGTAGAATCTTTTCTTTTCTCATATTATCTAGAATCATTAATTTTTCTTTTCCCTGTGCACATGGGCTTTATTATTCCTTATCAGTATAAACAATTTGTAGCCCCCGGGATAGGTATAATTAACTAGCGTGGTAGTAACCATGCAGATCAGTGATCTATATTCTTAAGCGTCCCTCTTCCTCCATAATCATTCAAAAGAAATGAATACACAGCCAAGATTGAGCATCTTCATTTCAAACAGGAACAGAATAGAGGAAGGGAGGGAAAGAAACCAGACCTTCCAATGGTTAGTTCCAGTCTTCAGGAGCCTGATATGAGCTGCTTTTTCTTGCTCTTTCAATTGACCTTACACTAGAGACTGGAATTAGTGCCCTGTCCACATGGCTCTGTTTTTTCATTACCCAATTACTGTTGAAGCAGTAGTCTCATTGCCCATCGAGTTAAGCTAACAAAATCGAATCACTGTTGTTGTGTTTTTTAATGTGTGTGAAATTTGCTTCATAATTAAGAAATGAAACCAACAGCGCTCGTTTCAGATTGTCATCGGGGGTTGGAATTTACATCATAGTAAAACTGTGTAGAATAATGCTCTCTGCAGGGAGCGCCGGGTTATTATTGCTGTTAGAGAAAGGAAATCAATTGCATTGATTGAAAATCTATCCAGGCATCGTCTCCTGGGCCATGACTTGACGCGGTATGTAATTGCTTTCACATTTATTTCCTCATAATCCCAACCCCCTATTCTACAAACCCAGGTACACTCTCCTGAAAATGACCAAAACCCACATATGCTGAGCTGCGCTCTCCAAAGGTCAAGATTCTGGTTTTGGCAGAATAAGCTCTTCAGGGCAGGGACTGTCTTCTTGTTCTGTGTTTGTACAGCACCTAGCACCATGGGGTCCTGGGCGAGGACGGGGGCTCCTAAGTGCTACCACCATACAAATAAATAATAATATATATGGGACTCTAGTTGATAGAATTCCCAGTCATATCAACATACAATTACTATATCGGAAGGCACTTTACTGTCTCTTTTTCACAACTCTACATAAACAGAGTCAGTTGTTAAAATTGCACTTTCTTTTTTGATACATACTGTGTAATTAAACGTTTATATCTATTTTTTCTATAGACCTAATATGCATGCATGCACACACGTTGGGATTTTAGTTTACTTATTAGGAATTGATTTCAACTTTCTCTAATCCATGATGCTCTGGAAGGTGAACTAAAAACCAGAAGCTCTGTGTCCCACCCCAAGACAGAGACTGCTTTGTGGAGCTCTGTCCTGGCAATAGTGAATGTATCATAGCACCTTTTTTATTGAAAAGCACAGAAGTGCTGCCCAATCTTTCTCAATCCATCGCTTGCTTCTACTGGGATTTCTTAGCTGCAGTTTGTCCACTAAGAATAAAAGAGGAGCATTAATTTTGATCAGACTCAACACACCTTTTGAGCAGATTGTACCCAGAGAGTATGAAGAGCTAAACTGCTTCAGAGTTGTGATTGGGAATTGCCACTAGGAATTCTGTTGTCGTGCATTCAGTGGACGGATGCATTAGCAACTTCCAGGGCTGGTCAGGTGGAAGGGTTTATTGAACTTAATTATACATTTGCTTCAGTGGTCTCACTTGTCCCCTCATTCCAAATATTGTGAAACAATCCCAATCTCACACTGACTCTACTGATTGGCAGTATGGGAAGAACCTTCCACACTACTGCTTGCGCTATACCTGCTCTGTGACAAGAGAACTTCACTCCCCATTGCTGTCAGCCTGACACTTTTCACAATCGCCAGGGCCCTGATTTTCATAGATGTTGGGCTCCCATTGGCTTCAGTTGGAACTGTGGATTCTCCATGCTTCTGCAGATCAGACCTGAGAGCTTTTTAGTTTATCTTTACAAATGAATCAACAGAAATAAAGTATTTCTCCAATGTAAGTGAATTCCACTAAATATACTCTCATCCCTCAGAGGGCAAGTCTCACGTGTCTGTATCGTATGTACATAGATGCATTTTCTGGGCTGCCTTCCAAATCCAAGTAACACCCTTTGCCTTGTGGGGGGCTGTTCCCATCTTTATAGACTGTGAGGGGATCGTCGAGGATGTGGTCCTGCTGGGAGCTCCAGTGGAAGGAGACGCCAAGTACTGGAAAGCTTTCACAAAGGTGGTGTCGGGCAGGATCATAAATGGCTATTGCAGGTCTGTACATGCACAACCTCGACGTCTCATTATGGCTGGGTCGCTGTTAGCGGATCTTTCATTTATTGCTTTTGAACATTTTGACAGCCCCAAAGATTGAAGTATTAAGGAGCTCTCAGTAGAGAACCATCTTCTTTAGAAGTCATTGCATCCATTACTTGGATTTGAAAGTCTTCAGGAGGCAACATAAGGCTGTTCTGTCTTGGGCTTTAACTATTTATGGTGAACTTTAGACTGGAAGCCTGCGCATATAAAGGATTTGGTATTTAGGGACTGTATTTCATTTACACTTATGGCTGCTTTACGACCCTCTGGCACCGTAAAGGGGCCTCAGACAAGGTGTAAATGTAACTTACATCCACTCTAAAGCCTCTTAAAACTGTCAGAGTGGTGCCAAGGTGTACATGAGAATCCAGCTCTTCAATTCACAGAGGGTATGTCTACACTACAGCAGCACTGCTACAGGACTGCAGTGTAGACGCTTCCGATGTCAACAGAAGGGGTTTTTCCATCGATTGTACATAATCCGCCCTCTCAAGAGGCAGTAGCTAGGTCAACAGTAGAATTTTTCTATCAACCTGGCAGTGGCAGTTGGGCCGACAGCCTTGAGCAATATAGCTTAGATCGATCTAATGTTTAGGTGTTGACCAGACCTGAGAGCTAATTTGTGGAATTACTTGTTTTTAACATATGTTAAATCACCTAATTGGCCAAACCTTAACAATGATGCAAATTTGTCTACAAATAAGTATACAGAGAGAGAGAGAGAGGTGCGTGTTAATATACAATATATTCTATTATTTTACGTACCTTAAAATGATCAGAAGAGAGAAATTAAAATCACAAGCACTTGAGATTAAAACAAGAAATCTTCGTTACTCCCATCCGTATGGCTGAGCTGAGAGATGCTGCTTTTGCTAATTTTGTATCGCTGAGGTCTTATAGATGCAGGATGTGTATGCAAATTACTGCATTTCTTCATGTAACATAGCAAAAAAAGCAACTGCTGTCTCCTGTACAGTAGTTTCTGGGGGATGTTTCTGTTTTCCTCCAGGAAGCCATTCATGATTAGCAATTTACGTGTATAACTGATTTTGCTGTAGTGACTATAGATCATCCCAGAACTCCAAAACAACCTCTACTTATTTCAGTGCAGAAAGCATAGTATATTCGTTTCCTGTAATATAAGAGAGATAATCTTGTTATCGTTTCAGAGCTTGACTGTGCTACTGAAATAAAATGGGCTACGTGTGTATAATTCAAGTTAGTCTCTTTACTTTGGCAGGCCATATTTCGACTGTTCAACAAACAGCGGTTAATAAATTACAGCTCAGTTGCACACAAACCGGAGTGAGCAGGGGATGAGATTCAGATACATATCCTAGTACATTTAATCTCTAAAATCCCACTGGATGCTGCAGCTGAGAAGCACCAGGTCCATATGAAGGGTGATGTGAGGTGTTAATTGGAGAGCTATGGGGATGGATTTTGGTGAGAGTATCTGAGACATGAATCAGGGAAATATGTTATTTCCTAATAAGACGTTCACATGGGTCTGGAGATGTGGTGGTTCCCTGCCTCGGTGTTTGCATAAATATTGAGCCAGATGGTGGTGGATCAGAAGTAACTTCACGGAAGTTTGTGGACTTACATTGGTGTAAAACGGGTGTGAGATCAGAATCAGGCTCATTTACTTGAGTTTCAGTTCACACCTCTCAACGTTGACGTTTCAATGAACCAAACATCTCGAAGTGAAAGCCAGTTGAAACTGCTACATTGGATTTTGTATCATCCGAACTACCAATGTCCTGTGATCGCCCTGTAATACCATAAGTCAAGCCATGTTTGCATGGCTAGACCTTTCAAACAACCTGGTCTGAGTAATGAGTTAGCAACAAATACAAAACCGAGTGAATTTCATGTGGCCTTGGGAGTGTTGCACACATTTGGCATAGCTCCATGTGGGCTTTATTCACATCTGATAGTCAAGGACGGTGGTGAACAGGCACAGCTGGAAGAGGCAGCTCTTAGAGTAAAATTCACCTGTGCAGAAGGCCAGCACAAGGTTCTGTACACCACTGCTGTCCTCCTTAAGCCTTCATCATAGAGCTCAGTTGGATGGAAGTGATGTCCAGGCTTTGTGCCAGCTCTCTGCACTGGGGAGAATTTCACCTTTCCAAATGCATAGCCATTTTATTAATCTTTAGACCAGCCATGCCATCTCTGGCCCAGATTGGAAGCACGATCTTGCTGCTTCTCCTGTTAAAAATCTTATATTTTTACAGCACCTTTAATCCAGAAAGATCCTAAATTACTTTATAATTTGCATATAGGTCAGCAGCCACGGTGCCTGTGCTCAACATGTTTACAGATGCTACAGGCTGGCAAAGTTCTACGTGTTAACGTATTACAAGGAGAGTGTGCAATAGCTGGGTGCAGCCCTGTCTCCCTGCGAATCTGAAATAATTTTAAAGATCCAGAAGCCTCTATTCACAGGAGTAGTCCTGGTGAACTCAGTGAGGCTACTCATGTGAGTCAGGATTACTCCTAAAAATTTTACAGCTGTACCCCAATTATTTTATCCAGCATGATATTCCAGGCTTGATTTCAGGACAGATGAAGCCGCAGCAGCTATTGGTACAGACTTTGCCCAGGTCTACACTAGTGGGGGGGGGGGTGGTCGACCTAAGATACGCAACTTCAGCTACGCGAATAGCCTAGTTGAAGTCGGTGTATCTTAGGTCGACTTACCTGGCCATGAGGACAGCGGCGAGTCAACCGCTGCCGCTCCCCCGTTGACTCCGCTTCTGCCTCTTGCGAGCTGGAGTTCCGGAGTTGACGGGGAGTGCGATCAGGGATCGATTTTATCGCGTCTACACTAGACGCGATAAATTGACCCCCGATAGATCGATCGGCGGGTAGTGAAGACCTGCCCTTAGCTGGGTTGCCTGGTCCTGTCATCTCTGTCTTTTCCTGTGTTCCCCGAATGTCTTCCTGCATTTTATTAGTCTTCCAGCAAGGCTTATTAATACCTCTTTTCCATTTTCCTCCTAGGGGAGACTGGCTGCTGAGTTTTGTCTACCGGACCTCCTCTGCTCAGCTCAACGTTGCAGGCCTTCAGCCAGTCAGCCTGGATGACAGGAGGATGGTTAATATGGATCTTTCATCTGTAGTGAGTAGCCCTCTTCATTTCCTTAGTATTTCACTCTGTCCTTACCGGTCATAGCCTTGTGTTCATCTTCCATCCACCTAGCCGCGTCTACACCAGGGACACTTAGGGCACGACGTTTTTCACAACCCTGGGTGATGTAGCTAGGTCAATCTAATTTTTAAGTATAGATTAGGCCTAAGAAGAGTGAGTGACTTTGTGTGTAGGTGGGAGGGATCGCTCAGTGGTTTGAGCATTGGCCTGCTAAACCCAGGGTTGTGAGTTCAATCCTTGAGGGGGCCATTTAGGGACTGGGGTAAAAATCTGTCTGGGGATTGGTCCTGCTTTGAGCAGGGGGTTGGACTAGATACCTCCTGAGGTCCCTTCCAACCCTGATATTCTATGATTCTTCCCTCTATATGTGCACAAACCTCACAACTCCATGACTTTACCATGAACTCCATGTCAGATGAGCCTTAAGTCTGTACCGACACCTAATGGAAGCTAGAACCTGAATGTTATGTAACATTGTAGGGAGTATTTTGTTTCCACTGTTGCTTTTTTTAAAAATTCTGTAACATCCTGCATTGGAGAAAATGGTGTTTCTATCCCATCAGATCCTACAGGAGTGGTATCACTTTCAGAAAGACAGTGTGGCGTGGTGCGCTGTCTGCACGTGCCCTAAACTCAAACACTGAGGCTCGGTGGTGCTGGAACTAGAGTTGCCGGGAGTGCTGCCGCAACCCCTGGCTTGACGTACTACTAACACACACCAAATACCTGGTTGCCATCATCAGCACCCCCACTATAAGAGTTGTTCCAGCGCCCCTGATGAGACCTGATCTACACTTAAAAACTGAGTGCCATAGTTAGGTTGACCTCACCCCAAACGTAGACATGGCTAGGTCAGTGAAAGAAATCTTCCCTCAGCCTAGCTACCACCTCTCGGAGAGCCCGATTAAGTATATCAATGGGAAAGCCCCTTCCGTCAGTGTAGGAAGTGGCTATGGTATGGTGCGTCAGCGGCACAGCTGCAGCACCGTCGCTGTGCTGCTGTCACGACTGTAGTGTAGATGTGGCCTGTGCCTACTCCCCAACAGAGTACCCCACTTGTGAAATGTAACAACCGCTTCATACTCTCGTACAGCCCCTTCACACTTGCACACAGGATACCACCAAAATATCTGCTCTCCCCTACCCACCACTAAATCCATAACCTGCTTTCATATCCCACCTCACTACTACAGTCCCCATGGCATGAAGACTCCGGTACCCCGTTACTTACACAACCTACACAATTCTGTAATGAAATGATGCAGACTCAGCATACATAAGCACCTCTTTGCTTTGATGACATACACGGGGGATTCAGATCCTGATCTCCTCATCTCACAATCACAGCTCTATGATGTTCCTCAAACTGATCCCCAGATCTCTTCATCTCACAATCCCAGCCCTTCCAAGCTGCTCCAGCTTATTCCTCTGCTATTCAAGACAGCTACACTAACACAGTGAATGCAGTTGGAGTGCCTGCAGATAATTCCCAGGAGCTATTGCCAACTGCGGGTTATCTTCACTTTGTATTTCCTGGTTCACAGAAGTTTGAGTTTTGCTGAACCTGACATTCTGGAAGGACACGAACTATCACTGGGCGGCCTTAACTTTGCTTTAACTAAGGTTTTGCCATTTAGTTTCCAGTATGGTCAGAGACTGCTTGCAAACTACTAGTACTCTTGGGGACCATGCACAGCAGCCTAGCCCAAGAAGGGAACATCTGCAAAGTAGCAGGGCCCCCCTGCTTTGTGTCTCATAATTCGAGCACCGCTATGAGTAGGGACCAGGGGGAACCTGCAGTCTCATCTAGCTGGAGCTTTTGACGGTCTTGAGCAAGTCATTTGACCTTGTGCTTCAGTTCATCCAGCTGGCTTGTCGGGTTCACAGTTGCAATGCTACAGCAGGGGTTAGTATGGCTGGATTTGAGTTTGGAGTTACAGAGCTCAGCGATGTTTGTGGCTGGTTTGATGACCTTAAATTTCTAGGGCATGGTCACAGTTGTGGCTTAGTAGTTGGATTCTGAGTTTCCAGGGAACAGAGTAGGTTTCTGAGTTCTGTCCTGTAGATCAAGCATAAATTAGATTCCCCAAAGCTGTTTAGTGTTGTTAATGCTAAACTGCTGTTAGGGGTGTAATATCTTCAACACTATTCAGCTCGGTTGCCCTAAGCAAGCTAATGACATAGATGCCTTCCCTTCCCTCCGGGTGACCTCCTCTGCAGATTTATAGATTATAAAGTCAGAAAGGATCACAGCCATCATCTAGTCTGACTTCCTGTGTAACACAGGCCATAGGACTTCCCTAAATTAATTCCTGTTCAACAAGCACAGATCTTTTAGAAAAACATCCAGTCTTGACTTAAAAATTAGCCAGTGATGGAGTGTCCACCACCACCCCGGACAAATTGTTCCAATGGCTAATTACCCTCACTGTTAAAAATGTACACCTTATTTCCAGTCTGAATTTGTCTAGCTTCAGTTTCCAGCCATTGGATTTTGTTAAAGTCTTTTCTGCTAGATTTATGAGCCCATTATCAAATGTTTATTCGCCACAGTAGGTACATATAGACTGTGATCAAGTCACCCCTTAACCTTCCCTTTGTTAAGCTAAATAGATTTAGGCTCCTTGACTCGATCACTGCAAGGCATGTTTTCAACCCTTTAATCATTCTCAAAGTCTTCTCTGACCCTTCTCCAATTTATCAACATGCTTCAGATCATCAGGAAGAACACAGCTTCTTCACACACATTCACAGCAATCTTGAGATCACAATCTACTATGACTTAGCTGTTTTTTTCCCCTTGCATTTTGGGAGTGGAAGATGCTTGGCAGAGCTGTGAAAACAAATCTTATAACAGACACTGTGTAATCCAGACTGCTTCCTCTGTCACTTCTCAAACTGTGACGTCTTCTGAGCACACCTGCGAGCTGGCACAGATTACTCTCCTAGTATTACTCTGGATCCAGAAAGGGTCTTAAGCACATGATCAGTTTCACATGTTATGATGTGCAAACACATCAAGCCTGCAACTGTTCAGCTGTTACCAGCTCATTTAATTCATACTGACTGAACATTGCTGATCCCGCTGCAGGAAAAATGCAGGACTGATGAGGTGTGGATAAAGTAGAGATGGTACAGAGCAAAGTGTGGACAAAGTGGGTTAACAGAGGCTCTTAGAAACATATACACCCCTCTGCGACATAGTTAAGCTGATATAAGCCCTGATGTAGACCCCGCTAGGTCGGCAAAAGAATTTTTCCATCAACTTAGCGACCCCCTCTCAGAGAGGCGGATTTACTACAATGATGGAAGCCCCCCTTCTGTCGCTGTAGTAAGTGTCCACACTACAGCGCCCAGTGCTGCAGGTGTGCCGTTGTACCGTTTCTAGAACCGCCAGACCAGTAGCGCAGCTAGGGAGGGAGCGGGGGGAGCGGCCGCTCCCACTGAGCAGAAAAGTGGCGCCTTTTTAATTTTTACTCACCCAGTGGCACTCCGGGTCTTTGGCAGCACTTCAGTGGCGAGTCCTTCAGCTGCTCCGGGTCTTCAGTGGTGGGTCAGTCGGGGTTTTTCTTTTTCCTTTTTTCTTTTTCTTCGCAGCGGGTGGCGCCTTTTTTTATGTGTTCGCTCCCCCTGCTGCTAAAACCTGGCTTCGCCACTGAGCCATACCCTTAATGCCCTATCTCTTGCTTTTCCCTGAAGAGCCCTGGTCTGTTCATTTTATACTTCCTAAATTTCCAAAGCATATGGAGTGTGGCAGACGCCACTGGGACTGACTCTCAGCAGCCTGCCTGCTCTCGCTGAAGAAGCAGTGTGCACATTTAGGCTAAATGGGTGGCCCAAGTTCCGGGTCACCAATCTTCCACCATTACGCATCTGTGTTCACACTGCGTGTATCAAATAAAGAATCCCAACACTGCTGTCATCTCTGAGAGGCCTGCCGCTTCCATGATAGCGCAGCCTTGCCTAACCTTACTGGAAAGGACGGAAAAGAGGAGCCATCCTGACAAAAAATAGAGCTCTAGGAGACAGGAAAACCGTGTGTTCTATGAGGCGTGTAAAGAAAAGCTTCAGAAACCAGTGCTTTAACAAATGGCATGAAAGCAAAGGTGGTTTGCACTGCAATGCAATGGAATAGGGTCGCATAAAGGTATATAGAGATGTTCTCAACAGAATGCTAAAAGTGTAGTGCTAGTAAGGCACTTTACTACTTAATCGAGTGCAATAAATCCAGCTCTTTCTTATAAGATACAAAAATTAAAACACCTTTTCTGCAGGTGTGGATGTTTGAACAAGTATTAAAGAGCCTCATTCGTACTAGAATCTACTCAGTAGTAGTAGAATCTATGATTAGTACTAGAATCTACTCAGTAGTAGTAGAATCTATGATTCTACTAGTGAACTAGTATCTTGGACTAGCTGGACTCCTCCAAGATTTCCTGACTCGGATCCATGAAAAAAGTTCAGTGCCACTGTGGGTTAGACGGTTGCTTTGTTTGAAACGTGGCTGACTGGTATCTCCACATCTCATTCTCATAAAGGTCCAGAGGTATGGGAATAGCAGCAGGTCACATAATGCTAGCCCAGTACAATGCAAGTGACCTAATCATAGAATCATAGATTATTAGGGTTGGAAGGGACCTCAGGAGGTCATCTAGTCCAACCCCCTGCTCAAAGCAGGATCAATCCCCAACTAAATCCTCAAATGGCCCCTCAAGGATTGAACTCACAACCCTGGGTTTAGCAGGCCAACGCTCAAACCTAATGCTGGCCATTCAGTCTAACCTAGCAGAAAAGACTGAGCCGCAATTTCAATTTCTTTTATGCAGACAACGCTGCTTAAAACCAAGGTGTTAGTGTTTCTTAAAACAATGTGGGTACCTGTTTCAGTGGAACAGGTTGCTTCTTGCAATTTGCTGGGGCACTCTCTGTCCACAGTTGCCCTCGTAGTCAATTGTAGCTCTAGGTACTTG